CCGGGGGGACGCGGGGGGTTTTGTCCCTTGTAGCCAATGATCTCCCCTCTGCAGGAGGGCAGCGGCTCCCACCGCAGGGACCCCGTGCTGGCATCCAGCCACAGCTTCTCCGGTTTGTCCGGCACTGGAAGCACAGGAGGACGGGGTCATGCGTGGGGCCAGCGAGGAGGGGCTGAGCCCAGAGCAGGGTGCAGGCAGCTCCTGGCCCAAGGGAGAGTTAGCTGGGGACGTGCTCTGCTCCAGCGCCCTGCACAGCCCCTTCCACACAGCCCCACATGATCCAAGCAGCCCTGATCCCAGGACCACCACCGCTGGGAGCAGATTCTCAGGCTGTGCTGCTGGGCGAAGGGCACCTTCACATTTCATGTTGGAGGACATGTACCCGTTTCCTTTGTCCTGAGGAGCCATGTGTACAGGATTGTGCTGGGCGGCAGGGAGATGGTGACACTGTAGACAGTGAAGGGCTGCAGAGGAGGACAGGTGAATGTTCCCTTCCAGCCCTGTAGCATCTCCTCTCCCTTCACCTCCTCAGCCTCACAGGATGGGGAGGAAGGCCCTGCCAGACGGCATGTAGCCTGAATCTGCTGGCAGGCTTCAGGGAGCTTGCAGGTCCAGTTCAGTTTGATGCTGGTGCTGGAAATCTCCAAAGTCCCGGGGACAACCTGGAGGACCTCTGTGAAGGAAACATTGCAAGAGGGTCACATCCTTCCCTTCCCCTCCCAGCCATGCAAGGGTTCTGCAGTCAGACAGCCCTGCTCCCCACCCAGGCAGGAGGGAGGGGAAGTGAGAGGCTAAAGCTGGTCACTCCAGCTCTGGTAGGGCATCAGGAGGAGTTTGGGGTCACAGTGTGCTCAGAAGCTGGACATGACCTTTAAGGAGAATGCCCCCAGTGATGCAACTTCCCCCATTCAGTCAAACATCAGGATATGGTGGGGGGAATAGGGGGAAGCACAAGACAGTGTATCCCCAGCTGGGCCACATCAGAGTTCACAGGGAGCAACAAAGGGGTCCTTCTGCCCTCCTTCTGCCCTCACGCCCTCTGAGTTGTGTGATTGGAGTCATCCTTTCATGCCGTGGGAGAGCACAATGGGACATATTGCATCCCAGCCTTGCAGGAGCTGCTTCCATGCTCATCAGACCTCATGGCACTGGCCCGAAGGGAAAACCATGACCTTTCCATGCTTACTCTCACACAGACACATCCCCAGAATCCTGCCCCTGCAAAGTAGCATCCGGCTCCTGTATGCCTCCCTTACCGATGCACTCCATTCTGGACTCAGTGTTGATCCAGTTGCCTCTGCTGTCCTTTCCAAGCCAAACTTCTCTGTACACAGGACTCCAGTAGACAGTGGACTCAGTGGTACATCTGATTTTGGAAAAGGACGGCTGGAAACCCTCAGGGCAGCTCAGCATCACTTCTTCATTCTTCTTGTAATTGTCCTGGTCTGGTACCAGCTGGAGTTTTGAGTCCCACTCAGGTCTTTGGCACATTTCTCCAGGACCACCACCGCTGGGAGCAGATTCTCAGGCTGTGCTGCTGGGCGAAGGGCACCTTCACATTTCATGTTGGAGGACATGTACCCGTTTCCTTTGTCCTGAGGAGCCATGTGTACAGGATTGTGCTGGGCGGCAGGGAGATGGTGACACTGTAGACAGTGAAGGGCTGCAGAGGAGGACAGGTGAATGTTCCCTTCCAGCCCTGTAGCATCTCCTCTCCCTTCACCTCCTCAGCCTCACAGGATGGGGAGGAAGGCCCTGCCAGACGGCATGTAGCCTGAATCTGCTGGCAGGCTTCAGGGAGCTTGCAGGTCCAGTTCAGTTTGATGCTGGTGCTGGAAATCTCCAAAGTCCCGGGGACAACCTGGAGGACCTCTGTGAAGGAAACATTGCAAGAGGGTCACATCCTTCCCTTCCCCTCCCAGCCATGCAAGGGTTCTGCAGTCAGACAGCCCTGCTCCCCACCCAGGCAGGAGGGAGGGGAAGTGAGAGGCTAAAGCTGGTCACTCCAGCTCTGGTAGGGCATCAGGAGGAGTTTGGGGTCACAGTGTGCTCAGAAGCTGGACATGACCTTTAAGGAGAATGCCCCCAGTGATGCAACTTCCCCCATTCAGTCAAACATCAGGATATGGTGGGGGGAATAGGGGGAAGCACAAGACAGTGTATCCCCAGCTGGGCCACATCAGAGTTCACAGGGAGCAACAAAGGGGTCCTTCTGCCCTCCTTCTGCCCTCACGCCCTCTGAGTTGTGTGATTGGAGTCATCCTTTCATGCCGTGGGAGAGCACAATGGGACATATTGCATCCCAGCCTTGCAGGAGCTGCTTCCATGCTCATCAGACCTCATGGCACTGGCCCGAAGGGAAAACCATGACCTTTCCATGCTTACTCTCACACAGACACATCCCCAGAATCCTGCCCCTGCAAAGTAGCATCCGGCTCCTGTATGCCTCCCTTACCGATGCACTCCATTCTGGACTCTGTGTTGATCCAGTTGCCTCTGCTGTCCTTTCCAAGCCAAACTTCTCTGTACACAGGACTCCAGTAGACAGTGGACTCAGTGGTACATCTGATTTTGGAAAAGGACGGCTGGAAACCCTCAGGGCAGCTCAGCATCACTTCTTCATTCTTCTTGTAATTGTCCTGGTCTGGTACCAGCTGGAGTCTTGAGTCCCACTCAGGTCTTTGGCACGTTTCTGGCAGAGGTGGATGTGGGTGTTAGTTGGGGTGGGAGGTGATGAGGTGGGTATGGGTAGGTGGCAGGAGGGAAAACCCCAGCAATCTGTCCAGCCCCTGAAGGGAGAGGGAAGGTGACGTCTATCTGCCAAGATGTTACCCATAGGCAAGGCGTGTTGGGACCAGGGCACTCTCCTGGTACACGTAAAGCATGAAGCATCATGCATCCTTGAACCTCCCCCATCCACCCGCTTCTGCCCATGGACACTCTTAGCTGTCCACCACAGCCCGCAGCAGGGAGGTTCCCATGTTGTCTCTCCCTGCCCACCGCCCTGAGCACCGGGCTGCCCACGCACGGCCATTCCCGCACTCAGCACAGCTCTGTCCCTGCCCAGGGCAGCCCCACAACCCCATTGCCTGAGGGAGGGCATCGCTCTTTCCCCAGGTGTATCCCCCCCAGCCTCCAGCCCCAGTGCCAAGGGCTGACCCAGCCCCGGGCACTCAGGGCTCCCTTCAGTCCCCTCCCCTCCCGTTCCCGGGGCTGCAGATGACCCCAGGGTCCCTCACCTGCATGGGCAGGCAGGGGAACAAGCAGACCTGTGCACTCCAGGGTGGCACCTGGGGGCACAGCAAGGACCTCTGTGAGCACCTCAGTGCTGGCACCCATCTGCAGGGCCCCAAGCTTGGCACCTCCACCAGGAACCTCCCAGACACCCGTGAACTGCAGGCTGGAGCCCTGCTTGCCGGGCTCCTTGCCCTGGCCTGGTGTGGGCAGCTCTGACCACTGCCCCCCACCCTGATCCCACAGCCCCTTCCTGCCGGGACCCTCAGGGACTGAGCCTGGCACCAGTCCCCTCCCTGCAGACACCACTGGAGCCCCGGGGCAAGCAACCATCAGTTCCCCAGGCAGGCAGAGCCTGGAACCCAGTGTGCACTGAAACCTCCTGTGCATACCCAGCCTGCCTTCCCCTGCTCCTGCTTGGGGAGGGCAGAGCGGGGCAGCCAGGAGAGCCCCTGATGCCTCCCTTACCAACGCACTCCACGTTGGACTGAACGTGGCTCCAGACACCTCTGCTGTCACTTCCAAGCCAAGCTTCTCTGTACACAGGTTTTCCATGACTGATGGACTGGACTTCCATCACGCATTTGACATGGGTGAAGGACAGCTGGAAACCCTCAGGGCAGCTCAGCATCACTTCTTCATTCTTCTTGTAATTGTCCTGGTCTGGTGTCAGCCGGAGTCTTGAGTCCCACTCAGGTCTTTGGCACATTTCTGGCAGAGGTGAAAGTGGGTGTTAGTTGGGGTGGAAGGTGTTGAGAAGGTGCATCAGGGGCATGTGGTGAGTTGCCAGCTTGCTCAGACAGCACTACCTTGTCTCCTGCCTGGGCTGTCCTCTGCAACAGTTTGCATGGGCAACCCAGCACCGAAGAGGGTCTGTGGTGTGCCTGCTGCTCTGCTGGACAACGTCACATCAGGCTATCAAGGGTTAAGGTATAGAAGGGACATGGGACAGCTGCCGCCACCTCACTTACCCATACACTCTACGTTCCTCTCAATGACCGTCCAGGCACCTGTGCTGCTCCTGCCCCACCAGGCATCTTTATAGACTGGTTCTCCAGAACTCATCCATATAAATTCCTTTGTACATTTGACCTCAGGAAAGGATGGCTTGAGACCTCCAGGGCAGGTCAGTGTCAGTACTTCATTCGGTTGGTATTTTTTTTTGTTTAAAGGAAACTGAAGTTTTCTATCCCACTGAGGTTTTAGGCACTTTCCTGTCAAGGAGAAAGTGTGAGAGTCCTTCTCAGGGAACAGGGGTGCTCTGGCAGGAGGGGGACCAAGGCTTTGCTATGACTGACTGTGGTGTCAACACCACGAGGAAACCCAAGGGGCCCCAAGTGCAGGAAAGGAGCGTGTGTCTGGGTAAGGTGGTGATATGGGACACTGGGTGACATGGTGCATGATCTGTCATCCTCCAACTTCCCCATGGCCTGCAACTTAGGAATAGACTGGGAAGAGGTGCAGGGACAGTGAGAAAACCTGTCCCACACTGAAGGCTTCTGTCTCCCCTCATCTTGGAGATGGGTCCCAGCTGAGGCCCATCTCTGAGCTGTGGCCAAGGTACCTCATGGATACGGCAGGATGTCCAGGGTCCCTCCTCAGGGAGAAGTGCATGTAGCAGGGAACACCTACTGATCCCCCACTTACCTGTGGTGCAGGTCAGGTTCTTTACCACCCCCTGCCATGTTCCCTGAATGTTCTTCACCTCCCAAGCACCCTTCCAGCCTGAAGACATCTCTTTTGCACATCTGATCACAGCAAGGGGAGGAGAGTCGTCCATAAAGCAGCTCAGTGTCAGTTCTTCACTGAGCCCATAAAATTTCTGGTTTGGGGTAAAGCGGAGCCTCCAGTCCCACTGGGGCTTCTGGCATCTCTCTGCACAGAGGAGAAGGAGCAGATGTAAGCCGGATGGGAAAGGGCCTGCTGTGGGTTTCTATTGCCCTGACTTTGACACTGTCCAGATCCTTTTGTATACCACGTTCAACTCCAAGTCCCTCTCTTGCAGCCTAGAGCAGAGCTAAGGGTGGCAGCAGGTGGCCCCAAGAGCAGTCCCATCCACCCCTGCAGGTGTGTAGGCTTCCCCACTCAGGCTCCATTTGGGTAAGGCTGACCAGGGAATGGGCTCCTCCCCAGCCATCACACAGAGGTCCTTCCACTCCCACCACCTCGGCTGTGCGCCCAGGCACTGTTTGAAGGCATGGGGATTGCAGTAGCCCCCAGTGCCAGGACCCTTCTTGCTACCTTTGAACACCTCCCCAAGAGCCCAGACCCCACAGCTGCCTGGGGCAGGGTGCTGAGGCAAAAGGTGCCCTGGCATTTCCAGGACAGGGGGGAAAGCCAAGGCATCCAGGTCCCCAATACTTGGCCTGTTGCCCAGGTGGGGCTGAAGCACGACCACATCATGGAGGGTCTGATGCCAGCTCAGGACGCCGGGGTCAGGGTGATGGGTGGCTGTGCTTACCCTTGCAGGTGGCAGTCGTGTTCCATAAGGTATGGGTCCCGTTGGAAATGCATCTGATCCAGGGGATCGATGGCAGATACTCCCCAGCACAGCTCAGCTGCACCAAATCGTTCAAGGCATAGCTCATCCGGCTCGGGGCAAACCGTAGCTTGGGGTCCCAGTCGTAGGGAGCTTTACACCTTCCTGTGGGCAAAGGGAGAGCCCTGAGGATCGCTGGGCTCCGGCAGCATCCTCGGGGATGAGGAGGCCCCCTCCACAGGGGTGCTGGTCCCCCTCCGCTTCCAAGGGGTGGCAGAGATGAGCACCCCCTGGGATGAGGCCGCAGGGTCTGGGTGCATTGTAGAGCATCTCGGGGACAGCCAGCCTTCGGGACCTGTTTCCTGACAAGTACCAAACCCCTCCTCGCACCCTCAGGTGCAGTGCAGGAGGGTTACCCGCAGGCCTCCTGCACACCTACGTGCTGCGGGGGGATCCCAGACAGAGGGATCCAGCTGCCCAGTGGATGCTGCTCTCTCCCCCAAAGACAGGGGCTGGGGGGGGGCACCAGACCCAGTGTGTCTCTGCTGGCACCACTCACCTGCGTTCCCGTCATCCTGCTGAGCACTACCTGCTCACACCCACACACACACTTATTTGCAGCAAAAAGCCCGCTCAAGCTGCCAATTCACTTTTGCTCTGCAGGCTACACTTGTTAGTTTCTCGTCTCCATCCCTCACCCAAAATACCCGCTGGCTCCTAGGACTGGGTACCTCCTGTGCCATATCCCTCCCATCCTCACCCAAGAGGGGCAACACCCCCACATCTGGGTTGGCAGAAAGGGCTCAACAGGGACTGCAGGTACGTATTTAACCAGCTGCATGTTTAGATGCATTTTGCAACATGTAGGTAAGGAAATTGATGGAAGTAAATCTTCATATTTGTTTTCCATCAGTTTCTAGACAGGAGTGCTGCTGTCTCTGCACGTGGCACAAAGTTAGGGCTTTACCCTCTGACTGGATACCAGTTTTCTTATAATACGAAATGTACCTCTTTGTGAGCTCTCTTCATCCAACAAATTCAGCTGTAAGTACCCAAACGCTGTCTGAAGTTACCAGGGTGCTGCCAGGCAGGCGCAGTGATTTTGCACTGCCTCCCAACACACCCAAATAGCCTTAGGACTCACCATAAACCCATGACTGCTCTGCACTCCTCGTGCGGCAGGCCAGCAGGCCACAGCCGCTGCATTGTCTCAGCCAGGATAAAGCCCCTGGCAAATACATGGAATAAAATCCCACCAGGCTGGCAAATTGGGAAGCAATCATTTCAGGCAGGTGAGAGCTACTTGTGAAGGCATTTCCAGTGTTTCATTTTGCATTTCAGGGCCCAGGATCGTGCCCGTACAAAGTTTATTCATTGATGGTGATCCTTCCAGCTTAGAGGCACAGCAGAGATGTGAACAATCGTTGCTTGAAAAGAGGTTTTCAGGGCATAACCTTAAGAAAGAAGCAGTTTGAGGGAAGGAAACGCCTCCGGTGGAGACAGCCCCAAGAGCTGAGGGGGCTGTAAGCACTCACAGGCATGGCTGACCTCTCCCAAACTACTCCAGTCTTGACCTTCAGTGCAAAGGGGGTTCATTGCTTTTCCTTTTGTACCTGCTTCCATATCTCCTGGTAGCTGTTACAGCCCCCGCAGTGACACAAAACCCACCAGCAGTACAGGACCCAGCAACCTGCTGGGCAGGATTGCAACATGCTGACACAGGTGCAGATTTCGAGAGATATCTGGGACAGCATCTTCCTACAAACACCGATGTTCTGCTGGCAGGGGTGATTGCAGCCGTACGCCAGAGCTCTGCCTTGCTCCCAGCCCTCCCTGAGCCTCCCACCAAAACTTCTCATGCCCTTTGTGTAGCAGAGCATTTGCTGCTGACACAGCTGTGAAAGAACCTCTCTAGAGTTTTTTGACCTTGTGTGGTGCTTCCTTACAGAGGCTAGGGGTAATGCTGCATTTGAAAAGGCCACGTCTTGTGGTTGCTGCTTTAGATGTGTAATATAGTGCAAATTTACAGTAGTACAAAGGAGAATTCACCTTTGTTTAAAGTTTATGTTTTTTTGTTTTTTACTAAAAGGTAAAAGGCTGAATGCACCTAATTTCTGCATGCTGGAATTAGATGTACTCAGCACTATACTAATTATTGCTGACAGGCACTTAGGATTGATTCAGCCTTCCCCTTAGTTATGGGCAGTTCGCTAAAGTACAAGTAAAGAGGTGCTGTGTAAAGCTCCCAGGCTGGAGGCAGGTGTGAAGGGATCCCTTGGACTGAGCTGGCACAACAGCCATAAATGTCTGACTGGGCTGGCCAGCTTCATCAGGATTCCAGCAAATCCCTTCTCTTAAACCTGGGCATTTATCAGCCTTAATCCTTTGCCAGAGACCTCAGCATCTTTTCCCCCTTTTTTGGGGGGGGTGAAAAGGGCCTGGCAGAGTCGCAGTTTCACTCCAGGGCTTCCTTGGCCCTCCTGCTGGAGTCTGATGGAGAGGGTGGCGGGATGCTGCTGTGACCCAGCGCGGTTTCCAGCGCGGCATCAGGCAAGAGCAGTCAGCCGAGACACGCTTCTGCGAAGCGTGCCAGCGGTGTGTCAGTGGCCACACCTGCCCTGCGGGCACACGAGCTCCAGCGCTGAGCCATCCTGCAGTCCCCTTGCTGCCTCTTGGACCCAGCTGTGCCCACAGAGCCCCTTGCAGACGCTGTTGGGATGCCCGTCCTCTGCTACTCGTCCTTCCCTTTCTTGGTCCTCTGAGCTGTGGGGGTGAGTGTTCAGCCCCTTTTTAATTCACCGCAGGCTCCCCTGAGCACGATGGCCTGCCAGATGTGCCAGGCTGGGCATGGACTACACCGGGCAGAGCTCGAAGGCTGGGTGGGAGAGATCAGAAAAGGCAGGCAGAGCCCAGAGCTCATCCCCATCCTCAGAGGAGCCAGAGCCTGAAGAATGCTGCTCTAGGGGAGTGCACCAGTCTCAGAAATTAGCCTGGGAATTAACGCTGTCTGACAGATGGACGGGTGTGACAAAACAAGCTTGCTTGCCTTGCAAAGGGGTAGTGTACACCAGCAAGACAGCCTGGGGGGGCTGCCAAAGCGTATTTACCTCCTGTACACAGAGCACCCTGCTAGCAGTGCCTGTGCTGCCGTGGCCCCCCAGGGCTGCCTCCTACCTGCACCCCTGCTGCTGCAGAGGAGCACGCGGGGTGGCAGAGCACCAACACCATGTGCATTCAGGCACCTGCAGCCACTCAGAGCCCTTCCAGGTGGTGTTTCTGATGAATGCTTGAGGGTAAAGCCTAGAAGTCTCTGCTTCCCCACAGAAGGGGAAGGGAAGGCACTTTCAGACCACATCTGTTTTTGTTTCAAGAACATCGCTGAATACAACACAATTCAACCTCACTTCTCCAGCGAGTCCAAGCCTGGAAGGCACGTGATTACCACTTGAGACTCACTGGGAGAAGCTAACCTGTGACTGCTGGGTGCAGTAGAGATGTACAGGTTAGGGGACACACACCTCTGCCCTCTCCCTCTTTCTTACATTCATCCCCAACCGCTTTGTAACATTTACTGTGGGAAAAGAGCTCCTTGGAGCAAGGGAGCCTTTGCTGTAAGCCAGGGCGGCTGTTTGTGTGCTTTGGTGGCGGCCATGGGAAGCCACGTGGCACACGTGAATCAGAGGGCACTGGCTCTGCCCCAGTTTCACCAGGCTGGAGCTCACCATTTGTGCACAGGAGATTGGATGCACACACCTGTGCGTGGGGGACGGGGCACTGATGGAGAAGGAAGGGTGCTCAGAGAGAAAGGGGCAAGAAACGCCCAGCCTCTAGCCCTGTAGGAACTGACGGCATCCGGGAGAGTAAAGAAACAGTCATCAGGCACTGTTTTTCACCCTGTGCTGTGGTATGCACAGCCACCCACAGGCCCTCTGCCCCCAACTGTAGGAAAGAGGCTGAGACAAGTGAAATTTCATCACGGAAAGTATGGTGTAGACCTGACCAAACAGGCACCTCTTGTAACGTGCAATGTGTGCTCACTGCAAAATGGAGAACGCTGAATGCCTAGGCAGGAGCGGTAACAAAAGGACAGCCTATTTGCCTCACGTAGTCAGAGCATTAACTGGTATGTTCTTCCTCAGCTGATGCTATTGAATATGAAGTACCATCCTGATTAATATTGTTTAATATCCACAAATACAGTAAGTATTTTACAGAAATACCTGGACTGCCTGTCCCTGCTGCAAAGGAGTTACGAGTCTGGCAGGCAAAACAAAGCCCCAGCGTGCCCTAGAAGCAGACGTCAGGGAGGATCAGGAGAAAGGAGGAGCAGCTATGGTGGTAATTCAGGTCAGGCTCCTGGTGTTCAGCCCTTTGCTTACCAGTAAAAGATGTACTTTCTTACACTGCATTATCCCACACATGAAGAATAAAAGCCAAGGTGAAATCTAAAGAGCAGCAGGAGCAGCAGGCAAAGTTCAAACCTTTTCCCATGGCAGCTCAGCAGGTAACGGAGGTGACAGCAAAGGGCGCTGGAGTCTTGCTGCGTTTGATGCCATGCGCTTGCTGAGAGGAGCTAAGAAAAGCAACCACCGTTTCCACCGGTGGAGAGTGGCATTGCAAGCCTCCGAGAAGACACGCTTAAAGCATCTCTGTACTCATCTCTAGCAACCAAAGCTGCCAAGGGGGTCTTTAAAAGCGATGGGCAGTGCGAGGGTGGGGAAGGGGCAGAGAGACCTTGGGGCTGCTCTGCTTGGGAGCTGTGGCAGGGAAAGGAGGTGACAAAGCAGGCTGCTGAACAAGGCACCATGGAAGAGCAGGGAAATGGCAGCGATTTAACCTGTACTGCTCTGCCATGCAAAAGGGCATCTGTCAAGGTTTTAAGAAGAGGAGGTGAAAAACTTGTCTCCTGAAACTGTACCCTGGTAATGGGAAACACTTCCATGGTGGAGCATACAGTTCACAGCCCCAAGAATGTCCAGCCCCGGGGCTCTCCTCTTGCAGGGCCTCTTAGCATTTGTGTTCCCTGCAGGATTTACTCTAGGCACTGTTTGAAATTTGAGTCCCACTGACACAAAAGCTTTTGGATTGAGCATGGCCTTATTTTCCCTCGCATCCTCCCACCCACTGGGCGTTGCAGCTACACTCCTAGCTAGGGCTCCTCGTCCGCTGCTGCTAAACCACAGCGTAATGTCAAGCAAGGCCGATGAGAAAGGGGCCAGGGCCACCCTGGATCACAGACCTTGCCTCTGCAGGGGAAACATGCCCTAGAAGCTTCTCCACCTGCCCCCCAGACATGCTTGTGCTGCAATGGGATGAGGCCTTCGTGCACGTGCAGCATCTCAGAAGGGGGGAGAAACCTTGTAAGAACAGCACAGCGAGATAATAAGGTGACAATAGGACAATGAGACAATGCACCCTGCTCAGCGCACGGTGCTCCTGTGGCGGGGTGAGCGGAGCAGCAGTGCTGCGCTGGCTCATGCTTATACCACACACAGCGACCACATCCTCTGCCAGCAGCTGCTCTGCTCTTCCACGGGCTCCCAGATGTGCTGCCATGTCCCCTCGCCTCCTGCCACTGCCCACGTCCCCACGCCCCCCTGC